CCCTGTGAACACGTGGGTGTCGTGGCTGCCACAGCATCCATGCGAAACACGGCAGAACAGCAACAAAAACAAACAGCAGATGCCATTGCAGGGGGAGGGTGGGGGTGGGAGAAGAAAGGGCCAATCATCTGGAGGACCGAAGGAAACTGCCAGGAGTCACAGCAGCTTGGGGTGCACGGGGAAGGTGGCGGGGCTGGGAGCTGGCAGTGTCTTCTGTCTATAGACTCCCTGGCCATATCTAGCCTGCTTCCCACCCCTCCCACTGGCAGCAAGAGGAAATCCCATCCAGGGAGCAGCAGGCAGCTGCTTCGGGAATTCCTTTTAGAAGATGGCACTAGAAAAGACTGGAGCGCCTCATTCTACACCTGCACAGACCCATGCGGTCATTTAGGCACAAACATTTGCTGTGTTAGCCTGCATTCCACGAAGACTCCATTCTTTCAAAGCTGAACCTGAGCCACTGTGCAGAGAGAAACCACTCATTCCCCTCCTGGTTTCTCAGCCATACTGTTGCCTAAGGCTACAGCCATGGGCCACATTCTCTGCAGGAGGTACAGGACCTCTACCTACCAGGAGATTATCAGGTGATCTAGAGGGTGCAGAGCCACTGAGAGGCAACAAGGAGAGGACAGGACAAGAGCAGGGGATCTGGGTCTCACTGAATCCCCCTAGAGGACAGTGCGGTTAGGTCAGCTTCACCCCACCTTCAGCCAACACAGTGTGTGTGTGTGTGTGTGTGTGTGTGTGTGTGTGTGTGTGTATCTGTGAGTGTGTCTGTGTGTGTGTATCTGTGTGTGTGTCTGTGTATTTGTGTGTGTATCTGTGAGTGTGAGTGTGTGTGTGTCTGTGTGTATCTGTGTGTGTATCTGTGAGTGTCTGTGTATCTGTGTGTGTGTGTATCTGTGAGTGTGTGTGTCTGTATCTGTGTGTGTGTCTGTGTGTGTATTTGTGTGTGTCTGTGTGTATCTGTGAGTGTGTGTGTGTGTGTGTGTGTATGTGTATACATCATCTGCATTTGATGATCTGTCTAGTCAACCTTCCGTGGCCCGTTATTAGGCTGTGTGGATGCGTGGATTCTAACTAGTCCTTCACATTCCTTTCATTAGGCTACAAGAATTCTCCAAAGCATTATCTAAGTCCTGGTAGAGTAATGAAAGTTTTGGTACCAAAAGTAGGAGCGACCAGACAGGCTCTCTCCCACGGACGACAGCACCTGCCCGAAGCCAGGCTCCCTCGATGAGTCACAGATGCCACGTGAAATGCATTAGACACACTCGGGCACAGGCACACAAACGCTCCACTCACGCAGGACACAGAAATAGATGGAGGAGCTTTTTGGTCACTGTTTACTTCTCAAAAATGGAATCATTCTCTACATCCCTATGCACATGCCAACTTCTTACTCAAAATACTTCCTGGAAATGTTTCTGAGTCAACTGGTTTGCCTGTAATAAATTCCTTTAGGTAGCTGCACATTTCGTAATATGGACTTGTCATAATTTATTCCAACTTTTACCTACTTATTAGGTTCCCTTGATAACCAGCACCACTTTTTTCTTTTTCCTTTTTTTGGTCACTACAAACAAAGCTGCCATAAAGATGCCTATAAGGATATTTCTAGGTAAGGTGCTTTTATTTTTAGGGTTAAATTCCCAGAAGCATGTCTGAAGGCTGTATTTTTCATTTCACTGGGTGTCACCAAAAGGTGCTTATACATGACATCCCATCAAGGACACACGAAAAGTCCTCTCCCCCATGACCCAGTGAGCGGGCTTACTGCTCTGGGCAATGCTGCGCCAGCCAATGAACGCAGCGTTGCCCTAATTTGCATCTGGAGTACGGGCAGACTTGAACAGCATTCCCACATTTCTCGGCAATCCGCACTCCGTGCCTGTGAACCACCTCGTCCCCCTCGCCCACGGTTCCTGTGAGTTTCCTAACTTCACACTCACTCCTACGAAAAACCTAATTTTCTTCTTGGATTTTTACTTTTTGATTTCTACATTCATATCTTTAATCCATTTGTTTTTATTTCATTTTATTTTAGAGCTGGGAGTTTCGCTCTTGTTGCCCAGGCTGGAGTCAATGGTGCAATCCCAGCTCCTGGCTCACTGTAACCTCCACCTCCAGGGTTCAAGTGATTCTCCTGCCTCAGCAGCCCAAGTAGCTGGGATTATAGGCGCCAACCACCTCACTCGGGTAAATGTTTTGTATTTTTAGTAGAGACAAGGTTTCATTCACTATGTTGACCAGGTTGGTCTCAAATTCCTGACCTCAGGTGATCCATCCACCTCGGCCTCCCAAAGTGCTGGGATTACAGGTGTGAGCCACTGCGCTTGGCCAGTTTTGTCCTTTTAAGTCCTGTGTGTCCAGAGAGGGGTGGGCACACTTACATTCAAATCAATGCTGCCATCCCCCTGGCTCCAGAGACCCCTGCAGTTTAAGCTGCTCTGAGAAGCCTCTGCTTTCAGGTTTCTGCCCTGGCCTATCCAGGGGAAAAGAGCTCCCACTAAGATCTCTGCTGCAGGGTGAGACCTCCCCCCACCCCCACCACCAGCCCGGGCAGATGCTCGCCTTGAGTCCCGAGGCAGGCCGCAGTCGGAGCAGCAGGCAGAAGGGACGGGGTTGTGCTTATAACACACCACCCTCAGTCCTGGTTTTAGCAATTCCATCATCGGAAAAAACACAATGAATCCGCAGTGATTGAAGGTGAGTGTAAACACTCCAGACTCGCTCAAGTCTGAACTGCTGCGCCATGTTATTCTATGAATGGCACGACAGAATGAGAATCACCTGCTAATTCACAGCCCCTGGTTCCATTTCAAGTAAGCAAATACATTTTGCTTTTGTTTTGCTTACAATGTTCTAGGAAATGCGGGCTATAAATAATCACTCAAGTGTTGCGTGGGTCAACAGCATCACGACTACCTGCATTTTCCTTGATGCTCCTTGTATCATGAGCTCAAGCACGTGGGCGCCTCACAAGGCACTATAAAGTTTAGGTTCGAGGTGGCGTGACGTTCCGACCTATCTTAAAAGGTAACGAACCCCTCGGGGTTCAGCGTCAAGCCGATCCATGCCCAGGCACATCGCAGCTGCCAGGTTGGGAAATGTGTGCCTTTAGGAGGCTCTGGGTGTGAAGATGGGGCTGTACTCAGGTCATTAAACCCAGACAGACCCTGAGGCACAGAGAGGAAGAGCCGGGTCTTGCAGGCAGCCGGTCCACAGGGAAATCCCCTGAGTGCGCAGCAGCCCTGCTGGGGGAATGAAGCCCTGAGCCTCACTTTCCTCACAGGGACACTCACAGGGTAATGTATGTGGCGCTTTGTCATACCCTGGGGCTCTGTAAGCAGCAGTCAGTTAACTGTTGCTTATGACACTGAACTCAGCTGACCCTGACGTTGCCTACTCAGAAGCCCTAAGCCCTGAGTGGCCTGGGCACCACCACGCACAAGAGTCGGGGTGCGGGCTTTGAGATGGACCACCAGGGAAGCCGGGAGGGGATGGGGACAGGGCTTCCACTTGCTCCTAACAGGGGCCCTCATTGTCATCAGGTAGACCCCAAAATCGGTGGCCTGACAGAGTCCTCAAGAGCCAGCCTGCCTTACATCTACCCCAACAGCCCCCGCCCAGCCCATCAGGTGGAGGCTTCCTTGGGACACCGATCCCTGCATGTAGTGGTATTCAAGGCGTTTTCCCCACCTGCGAAGCCCGTTTTCTTCCCCTGCGATCCAAACCCAACCTTTCCAGGTCAATCCCAAACCCCCACACAGGCTCCCCAACTACACCAGGTCCTTCGACTCCAAAGCGCTCACCAAGTCTCCTCAATAGTTACTTCTGTTGCTGTCGTGTGACATTTTCTTGAGCTGTCTGTATTTTTCTAACGAGGAAGACGAGAACTAGTAGTATCAGATTGATAATGGCTGGTTATGGGCACCAACTGACAGTGGCTGGTTATCGGTACTGATGTTAGCGTCTCTTGCCAAGTGGACGAGCGTTCCTTAAGGCCCGCCACCTCTTTTCCTGTTCTTCTCTCTTAAAAACCACATTTCTTAAGGTCGACAAACGCTTTCCGCAGTCAACAACTTGAAAGGCACGGAAGTTTCTTGCTTACCATAGGCCAAGGGGGAATTTTAGAATCTTTCGAGTAAATGAATGTTTAACATCCCCTGGAAGCTGCTGGAGAGTGGGGGGCCTAGGCCTGTCATGAAAGAACCAGCCTGGGTTGCCTCTGCAGACCCTGCAGAGCACAGCCACCCAGGGCTCAGCCACTGCAGGAGCGGAGGAAGCACGGCCCCAAAGCTCACAGATTTGCAGTCCTGGATCTGGGTCCCTGCCAACTACTAGAGAGTGAGCGAGGGGCCATCAGGCTGTGAATGAGCTGTCCCTGGCAGCAGATGATTTCCTTGTCCCTTCTATGATAGAGACTCAAAAGCCTCTCAGGCCCCTGACGGTCTATAGGCAGAGTGGCGTAATTCCAGTGAGGGTTGCTTTTCTCCAGGTTATAAGTGGTTATTATGTAGGCTTGTCTACTTCAATCTTCTTTCCTCAAAGTCTAGCGGGACACCTGCTGACGACTTCCTGCCCACCCATCACTCAAACAGAAACGCGGCGTTCCAACAACAATGACAAGCCACCTCCGCAGCCAGACCCAGGCTCAGATCCCACAAAGAGCTGGAATTTGGGGAACCATTTAAGACGGGGTATATTTGGAAGGAAAAGTCACACAAGACAAAATAAATATGCAGCTAAACGTCCAAATTCTGGAACTGTCAACTAATCCAACCAAAAGTCGACCACCACTGAAAGTACAGATCCCGAAACATTTTGAAAACTTTAATTTTAGAAAAGGGAAACTGGAAAATCAAAGGAGCAGAATAACTTGTTTCTGAATGAACTGTTTCCCCGCGTATCCGCTGCCATCCCCACCCGCTGCCCCACAGCTCTTCGAGTGGGGAGCTCCTTGCGGGTGGCCGGCAGTGCTGCTCATGGCCGCTTACCTTCACGATGCTGATAGGCTTTCGAGATAAGTGAAAACTTGCATACAGCAGAAACGTCAAAATAAAAATGAAGGCTCTGTACCTGAAACACAAAACAGCGAGAGAGGACAACATTAACAGAAGTTACGTTCCGAAGACATAAACACTGCTCTGGAATCTCCTTACGCGGTCTATTATTCGTTCAGTTCTACAGCAACATCAGTACTACTTATATCACTATAATATTGGAGCATTAAAAAGTATTGCCACGTTTGCTTTGTCCAAATGGAAACTAAACACTGTAAGAGACAAGAAAAACCGAACTGCTTTTCCTCTCCTCATGCACAACACACATTCCACACTTCCAACACCAGATGTGGACGGTATTCCCCATACACCGAGCAAGTCTCCAGCTGACACTAGGTGTCCTCTAAATGAATTCAAGTCTGACATGACACTGTCTTCCAGGAGCCAAAATCAGACCCCACAGGGCGGGGCTCAGTCCAATCAATGCAATTCTGACACTGTCTTCCAGGAGCCAAAATCAGACCCCACAGGGCGGGGCTCAGTCCAATCAATGCAATTCTGACACTGTCTTCAGGAGCCAAAATCAGTCCCCACAGGGCGGGGCTCAGTCCAATCAATGCAATTCTGACACTGTCTTCAGGAGCCAAAATCAGACCCCATAGGGCGGGGCTCAGTCCAATCAATGCAATTCTGACACTGTCTTCAGGAGCCAAAATCAGACCCCACAGGGCGGGGCTCAGTCCAATCAATGCAATTCTGACACTGTCTTCAGGAGCCAAAATCAGACCCCATAGGGCGGGGCTCAGTCCAATCAATGCAATTCTGACACTGTCTTCAGGAGCCAAAATCAGACCCCACAGGGCGGGGCTCAGTCCAATCAATGCAATTCTGACACTGTCTTCCAGGAGCCAAAATCAGACCCCACAGGGCGGGGCTCAGTCCAATCAATTCAGTTCTGACACTGTCTTCCAGGAGCCAAAATCAGACCCCACAGGGCGGGGCTCAGTCCGAGGCTGCCCCGCTTCACATGCCAGTGACAAGACCCAGGCCAAACCCCAGGCTGTGGCCTGCTCTTCCAACCAACTGGCTCTCCATGTGGTTCCCAAGAACCCCTCCTCAGGTTTGATTAATTTGCCAGAGCAGCTCACAGAACTCAGGGAGGGAGACACATTTACTGGTTATTATAAAGGGCATTAGAAAGGGTACAGATGAAGAGATGCACAGGGCGAGGGACGGGGCAGGGGCTCGGAGCTTCTGTGCCCTCCCCAGGGCTCCACCCTCCCAGAACCTCCCCATGTTGGGCAGCCCGCCAGCCCCCCAAACACTGTCCTTTAGGGAGTCTGTGGAGGCCTCAGCACACAGGCAGGATGGAGCACAGCACCGGCCACTGGTGATCAACTCCACCCCTTCCAGCTCCCTCCACTCCCCAGAGGTCCTCGGGTGCAGTTCCAACCTCTAATCACGTGGTCGGCTGCCCTGGCAACCAGTCCCCCAGGAGGCTGTCCAGGAGCCCCAGCCACAGTCACCTCATTAGCACACAAAAAGACACTCAGCACCCAAGGTCGTAGGAGCTGTGTGCTGGGAAGCAGGGCCGAGACCAAATGTGTGTTTCTTATTATTATGTCACGATATCAAAAACATTCATTTATTTAAAAAAAGCTATAACCAGAGAGAAGGCTGGGACTCGAGATGTACACTTGAACTTACAAAGCAGAATGAGGGCGATGAAACGCTCGGTTCACAGAAAAGCACACGAGTGTCCTGTGTGGTGTGCTATCCTTCGCATAACCATCATGTTTATTTTTGGCTCTTTGGTTTCTATGCAACTTTTCAGAAGCACACAAGCAAGGCAGACATAAATATTTCACGGCCCTCAAAGAGAAAAAGTCAGTGACGCTGGCAGGCTCTCACAGGCCAATGACAGAAACACTGGCACAAAGCCCCTTGCTCAGTGTGGCCGGGAGGAAAGCAGCCGAAAGAGGAAGCATGAGCGTGGAGAGCGGAGAAAGGCAGGTGCCTCGGAGAGGAGGTGAAGGCAGCTCCTCCCTAAGAGTCTCAAGCACCTCGGAGAAAAAGGTGTTTCAGGGCAACAGAATGGGTGGGAGGAAGAAGCACTTGACACGCGAGGAAGGCGAGGGGCAGCTCTTCTGCGTCCTGGGGCACACCTCCCTACCCTGGAGAACCTGTCCTGCTTCTGGCCTGGGAAGACCAATGACTTTGAATGGTGCCACCAACAACCTGAATCAATAATTACCTAAGGAGGTGTCCTACACAGAACAAAGAAAGGCAGCATTTCCGGGAGGCCCGGGGCCAAGGGATGGCTTTTCCCAGTGGTACATCTACATCTATAATGTTGTGATTCCCTCCGAGGGAAGCTTTCCATTAGTAACATAAAATTGTAGGATCCCAGAGCTGCCTTCTTCTCTGGTCACCAGCTAAAGTAGGGGGCAAATAAATATTTCTAGATTTTTCTTAAAAAAAAAAAAAGACGATATTTCAGGTGGGAAAGAAAGGTCGGTGGCTCCGTGGGACTCAAAACTACAACCTTTGGAATGCCTGTGCCTCAGGGGAAGGAACCCAACCACACTGTGACACAGCCGGCTAGAGTTAGAACCTGTACAATGCCATTTTATAAAGAACAAAGCTGTTTCCATTCTCCTCACAGTGACTGCTAACCTTGGCTTCTGTACACTGCTAGATCATTTGCAGGATGCAAAGTGAGGTAAATCTGCATACCTTCTCTTATCTGTAACTGCCAGAATTGCTGGCCTTTGTTTACCAGAGTAAGCACCCCTAGATAACTCCATCCTAGTGCCAAGTAAATAAAAATCTATGGATCCCACCCCTACCCAGACGATATGAAACGCATGTTAATCTCAGCATCTGTGAACCCCTTGAATGACAATCAGAATGTCAAATAGTCCCCTGGCCCTCGAAATATCCGGAACCCCCTCACCCTCATCTCCGCCCAGAAGGTGATTTGAATCCACTGGCCCTCGGAATGTCTGAAGCCCCTCACCCCATCCTCTCCCCTCACCCCCAAGGTGATTTTATGGGTATAAAAGGTCTTGTCACCCTCTTTACAGGGCTACGGGTTGGAGAGACGTGAGTCCTCCGTGGTCGCCGGCAATAAACCCTGCAGTTGGGCAGACTTTTGTCTTGGTGTTGACTTTCTATGCTCGGTCCGATATAACAACACCAACTGGCAGAATACCTGCTGACTGAAGACAGAGACGGCCCCGAGCTCCCTTCCTCATCAGGGAACTACCTTCCAACGGCCTTTCTACGATTCTTCCTCCAAGCCCATGGCAAGGGCCAAATGGGGAAAAGGTGAAACTACAAAGCCAGTGTGCAACTTATCCCAAAGCCCAAAGGACAAAGCTATGCAGGTACAGGGGATTTGCTCTGGACGCCCAGGCCTCTGTCCTCACATTTCTGAAAACCATCCTCTCTGGCAGGGAAAGAAAGTCTCGGCGCTTTGGATGAGGCTCTCCATTAGGCCACTGCTGCTTTCAGCTTCGCTGCTGATGCAGGAAGATTGCAGGCCCCTGGGCCTCACTGGCCCTCAGTGCTCACGTGTCCAGCCCACAGATTGACAAACTGGTCACTTCCACTCCACCTGCTATAGCTGACTAGGGCAAGTAAGGCTGATGAGTGACCCTGATCAGCCCTCATTGGAGGACAGGATTTCCTTTTTCAGTCTCCTCAAAACGGGTGAACAAAGTTATCAGGCCAAGTTCCCTCCAGCACCACCCCAGTCAGTCCCAGCCGAGTCCAGGGAGCAGCTCTCCTGTACCCCGAGGATTCTCCATCCACAGCACCAGTTCTACAGGTGTTCTCACCCGGGAGAATCGGAGTTTCACAGTTGCCCAGCTGGGAAGGATTTTGAGAAGAGCAGCTCTGCCCTGTGAGCTGTGGGTTCACATTCTCCATCCTCCAGCCAGGCAGCCCAGAAGGAAGGCTGTGTCTCTTTGTCGGGCTGAGGTCTGCAGAGTGCTGGGCACCTGGATTGTCAGGGCTGCTTGGGTGATCAGGCCCCGGCGATGTGCTCTGTGCCTCTGTCCCCCACTGTGGGGTGGCTCCGGGCTGGTGCTCGGCAGCACATGCCAAGATGGCCTGAGAACACCGAGGACCACACAGGGAGCAGCACGTGCCTCTGGAATCCTTCGGTTCAGCCTTGTGTGTTGGGAGATGCTTTAATGAAGAAGCCCCTTTGGGAAGTCGCTGCCACAGCATAGCCGGGCCCTCTGGGAGAAGCTGTCCTGTAGAATTGGGGCAAACGGTCCATTTATGCAGCAAACTGGAATTTCCTAAAGACTGAAGAGGAAAATCCTGTATTTATTTAGTCAGGGTCAGGCCAACTCTACTTCTTTAGTTTCCAAATTCGTCCTTCCTCCCTCATTTTCCTCATCTTCTGTACTCAGGACTTGGGGCTTGGGGACAAGGGGGAGGCGGCAGCTGGAGGCTGGACTTTCCTCGTTGAAAGGTCTGACTTCAGCTCCCACGGCCACTGCTGCACTGTGGCAGCCACAGTCAGGCCACTGCCTTGCTGGTGGTCACCCGGCACGCCTGGCCTCTGGGCAGGCAGACGCTTCACTCTGCAGCAGCAGCCAGGTTACGAGCTCCAACCCCCGAAAGCCTCGCAGCCCTTCTTAAGTCCCTTCTTATTTCCTGATTGTACCTACATTACCTTCATTGCTTACAAAGCAGATGTCTTGGATGATATTTGTTTCCTTTTATTCATTTTGTACTGGGTTGAATATTGTCCCTCAAAATTTCATGTCTACCCAAAACCTCAGAATGTGACCTTATTTGGAAATAGGGCCACGCAGACATGATTAGCTAAGGCGAGGGCATATCAGATTAGAGTGAGCCGTAATTCCAATGACTGGCGTCCACATCAGGAGGCCACGCGAAGACTCAGAGATGGACAGGAAGGGAGGCCATGTGACCACGCAGGCAGAGGCTAGCACGATGCAGCCACCAGCCAAGGGCTTTCGCAGGAGCAGGAGCTGGAAAAGGCCAGGAAGGGCCCGTCCCTGGAGCCTGCAGAGGAAGCGTGGCCATGCTGACGCTGTGACTTTGGACTTCTGACCTCCGGTGATGTGAGAGTAAGTTCCCACTGTCTGGAGACACTTGGCTTGCGGTACCTGTGACAGCGGCCCGAGGAGGCTAAGATAACGCTTTCATTTCTGTTTCGTGTTAAGTTTAGACTTATGAATGCAAAGCAAATGCACTACAACACTAATGGTGGCCTCTCTCTGCTCCTCAGCGTTGCACTTGCTTCCTGCAGTTACAGCACGCCTGGCCTCCCCCAGCATGACAAGCCTCACGTTTCCAGCAAAAACGCAGGTTTCCGCAATGACAGCACCAGACAGGGGTGCCCCTCGGGGCCTCCTCACAGATGGTCTCGAAGACCACGTGCTCTCAGGTGAGCGGCAGGCAGCCCGCTTCGGGCGAGAGGATCCGCGCAGAACATCTGTCTTTGCGTTTGACTGTCACTACCTCCATCACATGCAAATAAGGAGTAAAGAAACACTTTTGAGAATTACTGAGTGATACGATTTGGGGCAGAAATTAGTCTGACATCCTCATTTCAGAAACAAGGAAGCCCGACAGAGAAGCGATGCCATGTCCTCTTCAGATCATCCTGTCAGGTGGCACAGGATGGCTGTGACAGTGAGGTTGGTCCCTGATTAAAGTAATGTCTGCCTCATCGTCCCTCCATGAAACCACCACGTTTCCCTCTAAGTAATGAATATGGAACGTCGGGAAACCTGCTTTGAGACAATGTAGATATCCAGTTCCTCCAGCTGCTGCCCCACGAAGTGCATCCGTGGTCATTCTGTGCCCGTGCTGAGTGCCCTGTAATGGCTCCCAGCGTGGGTGGCTGGCTGCACATCCTCGCTCCGCCTGGCGGCCGCCCTCCACTATACAGAGTTCGCATTTCTCCTACTTATTCAGTTGTATCAGAGTCTTATGCTATTCAATGGGCTGTCATCCATGGCGAGTCTCACTTATTGTGAATCTCAGATTGTCCTAGATCTAGTTGTTTCTAAGCACTTCCTTGTCTTCTGGTACAAGACTTCCCAGCTCATCTTTTACCTGTCCTGCCACAGTCCTGGCATTGGCCACGTCTCCAAGGACTCCTGGCTCCTTTTAATGGCAGATGCCACGCAGAAACCAAGATCCTGGACCAAATGTGAACACTTTAGGGCTATTACTGTTCCTAGGACCTCCCAGTGAGATGCATTTACACACACACACACACACACACCCTTCTCTATTTCTATATCTACTGTCACCAGCTTATCCTGAGACCTATTGTTCCGATCCAACCCCACTCAGTTCATTCCAGTTCCCCTCCCTCTTCCCACGTCTGTGGCTCCTCCTCCTTTAAAGAGAAAGCTTCTCATTTCTGTGGGATTTCTGTCAAAAATATATACTCTGAATCGAATCATGTAGATGAGGAAATAACAAAGTTAAAATGTGGCACATTCTATAAAATAAGTGGCTTGAACTTTTCAAACATAACAAGGCCATTCATTGTCTCAGAAGAAGGAAAAAAAGCCAAGGTCATAAAAGATTTAAAAAAAAAAAAAAAGGCGGAGGAACGTGCTAGAGTGAGAGAGGAGGCCCACAGGATAACTACACAATGTGTGAGCCGGGAGTGCCCCTGAGCAGAAGAAAAAATGCTGCAGCACATGTCTGACATTTGACGGGTTTTTAAACACGGACTGTGGATTAGATAACTGCATCTTATCAGTGTGAAATTTCCTGATTTTGATCTTTTTGTTGTGGTTTTATAAGAGAATGTCTTCTTCATAGGAAATACACAAGGAAGTATTTAGAAACAAAAGGGTATGATATCTGCAACTTACATGCAAGTGCTTCAGAAAAGTGTGTGTGTGTATGAACATACATCTACACACATGTGCATGTGCACACATGCACACGCGCACACACACACACACACACACTGTGGATGGGCAGCGAGAGAAGCAGATGAGGCTGAATGTTCATCTTTGACATACAGGGTTCTACAGGAACATTCTTACAGATGTAAGTCACATGAGTTTGAAATTATATCAAAATAAACTTACAAAATGAAGAAGCTAAACACTCACTACGTAAAACCTGTGTTCAGGCACTTGTGGCTAGACTCACAGCAGACATGAAACATGAGTCGAGAAGAGCAGCACTCTGGCTGAAAAACGCAGATGCCTTCAAGCCAAACCTGAGACACCCGAGATGCTCTACCAACCAGCAGGGCTGAGAAGCTGCGCAAGGCCGGGGGCTGCTGGGGGCTGGCACGGAGGAGACCAGTGGGCCCGGAACCGGCCACTGTGGCGTCAAGATCATTTTGAGCCAAAGGCTTTTGAGTTCCTGGATTCTCTGACCTGCTGAAAAGCAGAAGTCCCCAGAAGAATTGAAAAGAATCCACCTGTCATCAGTCCTGTCCCTGGAGCAGCCAGGGAGGCTGGACTCCTACTCCCTCACTGGGGATGAGAAGCCTCCACCCTGCACTGAAACAGGAAGCATCACAAAAGCACACGCTGCCCATCTGCTCTCTCAAGGCCCACTCGTCTTTCCAAAAGCCAGCTGTTTGCCCACAGGTGCCCTCCTCCCGCTCCACTCCCTTCCCCTGTGAAAGACGGCACATGGTCCCGAATCCTAAATGCCCCTTTGAGTGATACTTTTCTATGACCTCTCATACACAAGTGAGGAAATCTGTCTTTTCCCTTGCTAGTCTGTCTTTTGCCATCCCAGGTCCCCCAAAACAGAACCTAGGAGGGAAGAAGCAAAGTGTTTCCCCTTCCAGAAGAGATCAGCAGGACACGTAAGAGGCCAGGGAGCCCAGCTTCAGACTCTGTGCTTGTCAACTGCTTCCTTCTAAGGAGAATGGAATTAACGAGGCCGCCTAAGAGAAGGATTCTCAGAATACGCGAGGAGAGGTGCTCTCTGAACAGAAAGCGGTTCTGGGCTGCACCAGAACGTTTCCTTTTCTCTCTGAAAGCTCTGCCCCAGCGAGGCCACTCATCTGATCTCACAGTTACATAACTTATATATAAGTGATGTGCTTATCCACCACAGCCGTCTGCTGATTCTGCTGGTAGTCAGTGGTCATTTAGGGACCGTGACTCTTACAGAAACCACTGGAGACCACGTGACAGCCTAACAATCTCTGCCAGTGCCAGCAGCAAGGACAAAGGACACCTCAGCAGTGTTCCAGGTCACGGCTTCCGCTGCCAACAAGCAATTCAGCAGTTATGGGCGAGGTCAGTGATCCAAGTTTCATGTGTTTGATAATGAAACTGACGCAAGACAACTACCTGCACAGTGGCCCTCACCCATGCCGACGGCCTGGCCCGCCGGGACTCACCACTGATCCCTGGAGAATGAGATGATGAAGCGAATGCCTGCAGGGAGTCGAGCCATTTATGTCTCCACTGACCACAGAGCCTCGTCCCAGAATAAGATGCTTCATAAATAGGTCATGAATCCCGGCTCCAGGTTCTCTCTCTGCCGCCGTCACTCCCACAGGCTGGAAAGCATGGAAAGAAGGGGTCCTGCTGGCTCTTGCCCCTTCCTCCTGGCAGGGGCTCTGCTCTCTACAAGGAGAAGGAGAGGCATTCACAGTCCAGTGTCCTGACATTCAACCTTCAGTGTTACTGGCAGAAGTAACCCCGCAGATGTACAGTAGCATTCCAGACCAAAGCTGGATGTCTGATACGAGCAGGGGCCCCCGCCACGAGGGTTACTAGGAAGAGGTGGAGTACCTGCCCTCAAGGCAGTTTGTTCTGAGAACCCTGAAACGAATTTCAGATAATGTTCTGATGGTGGATAAAAAGGAACCAAGGAACTCATCTCTATCTGGGAGGTACCTAGAGATCAACATCAACCCACTCACAAAAGCAAGGATGTGCCCCGCAGTCACACCGTGTGCCCAGATACCAGGGCATGCCAGGGCACTGGACTGGCTCAGTTCTACTCCTATGGACCAGGCCACCTTTGAGTCACAGTAACAAAGAAATGTGGGCCTAGACAAGAGGGCAGATCGAACCAATCATTCAATTGTGGCTCCGTCATTTGAATCCAAAGGAGGAGTGAGCTTTGCCTCTATCTGCCTCTTCATTTTTCATCTGTCATAGCCACCTCAGAATCACCTGATTATGCAGTCAGGGCAGAAGGCAGGGCAATATAGGAAGGAATTCTGAGAGGGAGTTCTGAGAACTGAGAAGGAGCCCAGCACAGCAGGCAGGACTGGTCTCCCATCCCAAATCCAGCCTCATGACATTCCCCAGTGACTGCATCTTCCAAAACTAATCAGTTCCCCAGATTTGCTTTTGCCTCCCTCCAGAGTGAGCTTCCAAAAAACGCACACTCACCAAGGATTTTCCTTATACCACCTTTTACAAAAAGATTCAAAACCCTGCTGAGCTTTTGTCCCAGGAGCTGCCCCTCATCTCTTCTCCCTGCTCCAGCCAGAACTACACCTTTCTCCAAGGAGGTCCTCGCAGGGCCTGAACAGGTAGATTCATCCCACTTCAATGCCTCCTGCCTCCAAGGCTGAGCCTGGGCTGTGTAAGCTGAGGCAGGTCACCTAACGTTTCAGCTCCCTCTCCTTCCAGGCTAAACAGTGGGGTGATAGCACTGATGTTGTTATAAACGCAAAATGAGATAATCCGTGGGAAGCCAAGTGGCCTGGTATGTAGTAAATGCCCACCAAACACTAGCTGATATTCTCCTCATTGTCATTCCAGAAAGGAAGGCCAGGGACTGCAGGGCAATGTCCTACTTCCACCTCCTCGTCCAGAATCTAGCGCAGACCACGTGCTCAAGAGACTCATGTTGAATAACAGCCACAAATACTTCAAAACCAAATCTGCTCAAACCTCTAGATTTAAGCAATATTTCGCTCAAAATGGGTGGGCTCCAGTCTGGGTCCAGATATACTCTGGGAAATGACTTTGTGATGACAACTTCAGAGTAAAGAGTTTGGTTCAGCAGTCTCTGGAAATGGATGGTCGGAAGCAAATGTCTTCCTCCTAGTGCCGCTTCTCCATGCCCAGCGCGTCTGGAAACATTCCACTGCCATCTACTAAATAATCAAAAGCCTCCAACTCTGATAAAACCTGTGACAACAACATCGAAAACCCAGAAGGCACTGACAAATCAAGAGGGGAAGAAAAACCTCTTTGATTTCTTTTTAAAACAATGATGATTCTTTCCCCTGAAAAATGGGCGAATGGAAAGTGCTGTAAATTGTCATAGTGAGCGCAGTTAAGACGTGCAAAGACAGTGACTTGACTTTGGGGATGTTGAGAGCTCAACTAAGAAGGCCCTTCCTTCCCAGCCTGTGCAGCTCATTTAGAGTGCGTCAAGCCCTCTGGGAGCATGAACTACAACTGACATGCTCTCATTTGAGCCCCGTGACCACCCTGAAGAGGCAGGGCGTTCATTTCACAAGGGAGAAAAATGAGGCTAGGCGGCTGGCCTGGGTCAGCAGGGTAAGTGGGGCAGGTTCCAGTTTGTCCTGTTTCTCCAAGCCACCTCCTCCCTCCAGCCACTGTTCCTCCTGCTCATCCCCTGGAAAGAAAGAGCAGCAGAATGGAAGCAAATCACTTGGTTTAAACCCAGTTTATGGCACACAGTCCAAGTACATAAAAAGAAGACATACTTTCTAAAGAAGTCACTCTATAGGTGCCCCTGGAACTCACCATTTCAGAGAGGAAAAGCAGCAGAATGTCCAGTTTCATTACACTGTCAAAGACAGCAACTTAGGCCAAGCACGGTGGCTCACGCCTGCAATCCCAGCACTTTGGGAGGCAGAAGCAGGCAGATCACTTGAGGCCAGGAGTTCGAGACCAGCGTGGCCAAACCCCATCTCTACTAAAAATACACAAATTAGCAAGGCATGGTGGTGCACACCTGTAATCCCAGCTACTCGGGTGGCTGAGGCATGAAAATCACTTGAACCCAGGAGGCGGAGGTTGCAGTGAGTTGAGATCGCACCACCTCACTCCAGCCTGGGCAACAGAGTGAGACCCTGTCTTAAAAAAAATAAAAAGGATAGTAACTTAGGAAACAACCCATTAGAAATCTTTATTACAAGCTGTAAAACTTGCACATGTACCCCTGAAACTAACAGTTAAAAAAGAAACCCTGTAAGACACACAGTTTTACACCTATCTCCTGAAAAACCTACCCTAGCCAACTGTGAAACAGAACGAGCTGAGGGAAATAAACATTCACAAGCTCCACTCCCAGACCCACCCACACGTGATCTGCGCTGCCTAGAAGGTTCCAGGGCACCTTCGGAGACTCAAATAAGGGGCCAGGGAGTGAGCAAGAGCAGGAGGAAGGTTCAACAGTGTTTTTAGGGCCGAGGTGCAGTTACACATCATCAAAGCAGCCCCACAGATATTTTAAATAATCTGCTTCATGACAATTTTTTTTTAAACTGCGTCTCACTTCACAGGCAAAGATGGGTGAGCAATTCAATTCTCCAGAAGTTTTCATGCATTTTTTTTTTAAATCGAGAAATGGAATACAACTTCCTTTCCAGAGTACACACTTTCCGTGGCTTTTTGCTTTTAAAGGCGCTTTTTATATTAAATGGAAATGGTCACTATCTCTTTCCCCTTGGCTGAAGTACAAGGAAGCTGAATTCCATCTGCACCACCTCTTACCTGCCCCCAACCCCCAACAAACAACATCACAGGTGGGCTGCACCAAACAGAACGTCTAAACGCAGTTCCAAAATGACTTGGAGAATCACAGAAGGTCTGGAGCCAGAGATTTTCAAGCTTGCTCTAAAAGAGGATTATTAAAGAAACAACGGGAAGTCTAAAATATTTATCCACTTACACAACTTCTAACAATTTAAGTTCAAGGGCCGGCAGGCAGGCAGGCAGCTTCCAGGCTAAGAGCTAAGGGAGACCCGGAAAGGGCAGGCTTTGCAATTGCTCCATTAGAAATTCAAACCTGGGGCTGCGGGCTGGAGTGTTGGTGGAGTCGGGGTGGTAAGGGGCTTGGCCAGTACCCTTCGTTCAAATGCAAATCTTTAGATCATACGTACCTTGTTGGTCGCCAGAATCACGGCGTGGGCCGCAAAGGCTGGAGGGCTGGTGGCTAGCGGCGAGGGGTCTTCCCGGCACGTCAAGCCCTTTATTATAAACCCAGAAGGTCGCTGTCACTCGCGCTGGCCAGGAGGCCCATGGGCTCCGGGAACCAGCTGCTCAGCCGACAAACAACGCAAAGGCCCAGGGTGCCGGCGCTCCGAGCCAGCGTTCCGTGCCGGCTCCTCCCTGGGCGGCTGGTCCCCGGAGGAGGTGAATTCCCCGGGCACGCCCACGTCCCCATCGCGGCAGACAATGCGTAGGGTCCCCTCTTGCCGGCTCTCTGGACCCTCAGCTGTCACAGCGGCCCGGGCCGAGGTGGGCAGGAGACCCGGCCGGACAGCTTAGCTCGCGCCTGCCGGGGACTCCGTGGAGCGGCTGCCGACCCCGTGCCCGCTCCCTCTGCCTCCACTTCCCCAGAATCCCAGCGTCGCCCCGGTCCGGGAACGCCCGGCATTGTTGCCGAGGGCCACTCTTATAGATGTCGTATTTCAAATACTCCCCTCCGCGAAAATAGCTTGAGACGGTCGCCGGCTCTCCGAAAACACCCAAACCTGCCCCCACCTCCCTCCCAAAAAAAGAAAAGGAAGGAGGAGAGGGGCCGAGCTCCCAGTGCGCAGGGCCGGGCGCCCGGCTCCCTGCGGGTGCGGCAGGTGCGGAGCGGCTGCTGCGCCCGAGTGCCGGCGACCCAGCAGGTGCGAGCGGTGGGGCTGGGGGTCCCCGCCTCCCCACCCGACCCCGGCCCCGCGTCTCACCTGCGCCACCGAGGCCGGCGCACCGCAGCTCGGCCCGGCCGCCGCGGGCGCTTCCTGCTCGCGACTTCCTGGAGCGGCGCGCTGGAGGCCCCGCCGCCCTTTCACTTTCCCCAGCCCGCGGGGCTCTGGCAGGGCCGTGGGGCTCCTCCCCTTCCCCAGCCGCCCCGACCCCAGGCCCCGGCCCCGGTCCCGGCCCCGGCGCGCCCAGAGTCGCACCCGTCCCGGGGCCACCGGACGGGGGCGCCTCCAAATCTTGCGGTGCTGCCTGTCCTCTGCGGGCGCCCCCGGGTCATGGCCGGCACCTTCCCTGGCTCCGAAGGCGCACAAGCTGTCGCTGGCGCGCTCCCCACCGCCTCCGGGCAATCCCCGGCGGCGTCTGCACCGCTGGTGCTCTGTCCTCCAGGAGGGTCTTCCCCACAGGCGGCGAGGGTCATACGCCGCCGCTCCCCACCCCCAAAGAGGGCCTTTCCTTGGCCTCCCGGTTTTTATTCCTATTGTGTCTTCTCAAGGGGCACAATCGTGGAGACTAGCACTCCACAGCATGGAAATGGGCACGCGGATATGGCTCTGTCGAACCAACCTGTAAGCCAACTTGTGTCGCACCTCGTAGGCATGTGACAGATGAGGCTCCCGTGAGGCTGGAGAAGCCCACACGGGTTCTTGCCCTTGGTGGCCGGTGCCCTGGCACAGCTCCCACTTCACCCCAGGAACAACTATATTTCTTCGGCAACCCAAGGAGGGGCCTGGCCATCCCCCTGGAAGCCACTGGAGATCACCAATGGCGGACCACAGCATGGCTTCAGAGCAGACGGGGTTCCCAGGCCGCTCCTCCGGGAAGACCAAAGGGAGGCAGAGGGGAAATTTTCCGGAAAAGCCTGCCCCTGGATAAAACAGTGCTTAAGGATAAAAGCAACCGTAAAGCAACCGAGGCCTGGCTGTAAATGTCCAACAGACCAGGGCCCCTGGGACCTCCCCCAGGCACGCGAGCTTCCCTCTGGAGAGTGGAGAAGGTCCTCGTGGGGCCCTGCTCTGTTTCTAGAACACTGTGACCTCTGTGTCTCTCTGCTGAGCTGGGCTGCATGAAATCCACTACTGTGTCGGTATTTGAGAAGCCTTCTGCAGGCAGAAAGAAAACCTGCCCAACCTCTTGGCCAGGCATGGTTCAGCCACAGGAAGCCTGCTGGCCCCTCATTCCACAAGGGAGGTGGCCCAGGGCGCCAGACTTCTCTCTGGTTAGGTCTTTTTCAGACCTTCTTTCTCTCCGCAGGCCGCCTCTGCCCGTTCTTTCTCCTCTCTTTTGAGCTCTCCCTTCCCGGCGATAGCACAGTGTGGCTCCCACCTCTCTCCAGGGGTCTCCCCTGCCCTGGCCCTCACTCCTGATTCTGCTAGAGGCTAGTCCTCTCTCACCGCACCTGTGCAACAGCCTCCTCACTGCCAACTTCTACCGCGGGCAACCCACTCTTTAAGCTGCCTCAAATTGCCCTCCCAAAGCAAAAGCTGATCTTGTCATTCCTGATTTTAAAACTTTCAGGTCATCGCATCACCTACAGGAATGAGACCAAATTTCTCAGTAGCTAGATACAAGGTCTGAAGCAGTTTTGCAGCGGAATCTCTATTCATGCCAGCTTCCAGACTGCTCTTTACTTCCAAGATTGTGTGCTTTTTTACACTTGTGCGTTTCTGCCTTGGCCCTCCTGACCCCAGCTTTTCCAAGGAAGCTCAAACTTTGAGAGCCAGTGGAAATATTTCTCCGCTCTTGGGTCATCTCACAGCATTTCTGGGGCACTGTAAAGATCTCTTTGTCACATGGACCTCCCACAACGAACTGGTACCAGTTACTCATCAGTCTATCTCTTGGCCCCTGGGAGATGGGGTTGGAGGGATTCTTGTGTCCTGCCCTGGCTCAGAAGCACTGGTCACTGTTTTCTAACTGGGTGAATGAATGCAGCTTGACACAGTACCGGCGTCTCCTGAATGGTAATATTGGTGTGGCATGCTGGAGTAGGCCAGAAGGGATCTGGCATGGTGTATATATGTAAAGTATTTGCTGAAAATATTAATTTTTTTAATTTTATAAAGATTAGATATTGATCTTTTATAAAATATTAATCTCTTTATGTCAGTCTTTTATATTTGTAAGGAATATTTAAAAATGTATTAAAGAAGTTAGTAAATTTCTGTAAAATTTCCTAGTAAAACATTTCACATTTTGAAATGAAAACTTGTGATTGCTTCCCTGAGCATATCAGGTTTCACACTTGACAGCTGGTAATACAAGCTCAGGATCTATAGGGCACCTCTGCCGTCACATCAAGACAGTTCCCCCTTTCCCCACCCTTATTGATGTAAAACTGACAAATAAAAATTACGTATATTTATAGTGTATAGTGTGATGTTTTGATACATGAATACATTGTAGCATTATTCCCACAGTCAAGCTATTATATCCAGTCACTCCACATTATTATGTATTTTTTGGTGGTGAGAATATTTAAGACTATTCTTTTTGCAAATTTCCAGTACACAATATATTACTACTAACTATGGTTACCATGCTCATGTATTAGCTCTCCGGAACTTGCCCATGCTTCCTAAGTGAAACTTTGTACCTTTTGGCCAGCAACTCCCCGGTTCTCCCACGCTACTTCCCCGGTGACCATTATTATTACATGCTCTACTCTGAGTTCCAGTTTTCAGGTTCCACAAATAAGTGCGGTCCTGCACACTTTTCCTTTTTTGTTAGTTTGTTTGTTGGCTGGTTTGTTTTCAGACAGGGTCTTGCTCTGTCGCCCAGGCTGGAGTGCAGTGGTCAAGGCTCACTGCAGCCTTAACCTCCCAGGCCCAGGTGATCCTCCACCTCAGGCTCCTGAGTAGCTGAGCCTACAGGCCCAGGCCATCATGCCCAGCTAATTTTTTTAACTTTGTAGAGACAGGATCTTGATATGTTGCCAGGGCTGGTCTTGAACTCCCAGGCTCCCAAAGTGCTGGGATTACAGACTGAGGCACTATATTCGTTTGCCTGGCCTATATTCGTTTTTCTGTACCTGGCTTATTTCACTTAATGTCCTCCAGGCTCATCCATGTTGTTGCAAATGACAGGGTTTCCTTCCTTCCTTTTCAAGGCTGAATAGTGTAACATTGTGTACATGCAGATGCACACAGCACATTTTCTTTTCTTTTTCTTTTTCTTTTTTTTTTTTTTGAGACGGGAGTTTCGCTCTTGTTACCCAGGCTGGAGTGCAATGGCGCGATCTTGGCTCACCGCAAGCTTCGCCTCCTGGGTTCAGGCAATTCTCCTGCCTCAGCCTCCCTAGTAGCCGGGATTACAGGCACGCGCCACCATGCCCAGCTAATTTTTTGTATTTTTAGTAGAGATGGGGGTTCACCATGTTGACCAGGATGGTCTCGAGATCTCTTGACCTCGTGATCCACCTGCCTCGGCCTCCCAAAGTACTGGGTTTACAGGCTTGAGCCGCCGTGCCCGGCCCCATTTTCTTTGTAAACTTCCCTCTGGTACTGCTTTCGCTGCATCCCGTAAGTTTTGGTATGTTGTTTCCACTTTCATTTGTCTCAAGGAATTTTCTGATTTCTCTTTTGATATCTGCTTTGACCCCACTGATTGTTCAGGTGTGTGTGCAATTGGTGAATTTTCCTACTTTCCTCCAGTTACTGATTTCGAGTTCATACCATTGTGGTCAGAAAAGATACTTGATATGATTTTAATCTTCTTAAATTTGTTAGAACTTGTTTTGTGGCCTGACATATGATCTATCCTAGACGATGTTCTGCATACACTTAAAGTGTATTCAGCTGCTGGTGAAGGAATGTTCTGTGTACGTCTGTTAGGTCCATTTGCTCTAGAGTGTTGTTCAAGGTCACTGTTTCCTTATTCATCTTCTGTCTGGACAGTCCATTCACTGTTGAACTTGGGGTGCTGAAGTCCCCTGGCATTACTGTATTGCTATTTCTCCCTTGAGTTCTGTTAATCTTCTCTCTCTATATTTAGGTACTCTGGTGTTGGGTACATATATATTTATAATTGTTATATCCTCTTGATGAATTTATCTCTTTATCATTATATAGCGACTTTGTCTCTTACGAAATTGTTTGACTTAAAGTCTGTTTTGTCTGCTATAAGCACCGTTTTGCTCTTTATTTGGTTACCATTTGCATGGAGTATCTTTTCCCATGCCTTTACTTTCAGCCTACGTGCATCCTTAAAGCTAAGATGAGTCTTCTGCAGGCAGCACATAGTTAGATATTTTTTAAATATCTGTTCAGCCAGTTCTAATTTTTGATTCCATAATTTAATCCATTTACATTACTGTAATTATTGATAGATAAGGGCTTACCACTGCCATTTAAAAGGTTGCTTTCTGGCTGTTTGTAGTTCTCTGCTGCTTTCCTGCTCCCTGCTGCCTTCCTTTCTGATGTGATGATTGCTGCCATGGTTTGCTTTCCTTTCTCTTTACATTTGTGTTTCTACTACAGGTTTTTCTTTTGTGGTCACCATGATGCTGATATAAACATCTTATCACAGTCTATTTTAAACAAATAAAATCTTACTGTTAGCTGCCAACAGAAATCCTACACTTTAATTTCTCCTCCCACAGCATATTTGGTGTTACTGATATTGCAATTTACATTTTTTATGTATTGTATATCCATTAACAAATTATTATAGTTACAATTATTTTGAATACCTTTGTCTTTTAACTTTTACAGTAGAGTTAAAAGTGATTCACACACCACCACTGTAGTATTATTCTGAATTTGACTATAATTGTACCTTTACAGTGAGTTTTCTACTTTGACATGTTTTTATAATGTTAGCATGCTTTGATTTCAACCGGAATAACTCTTTTTAGCATGGCGTCTAGTGGGGATGAACTCCCAAAACTTTTGTCTGGGAAAGTCTTCATCACCCCACTTTCTCCTGGCCTTCAAGGCCTATGCTGAGAAATTCATTGACAGTCTTATGGGTTTTCCTATGTGTGACAAGTTGCTTTTCTCTTGCTGCTTTCAAAATTGCTTCTTTAAGTTTTGAGAATGATTATAATGTATCTTGGTGAAAATCTCTTTATCTTTAGGTTATTTGTGGCTCTTTGGGACTCATGGATCTGGACATTCATTTCCCATTTGGGAAGTTTCTGTCATTATTTATTTAAATAAGCTTTCTTCTTCCTTTTTTTTACTGCTCCTTCTAGGATTCCCATAATGCTCATCCTAGTTTGCCTGATTATCTCCCTAAGTTGAATAGGCTTTCTTCACTCTATTTCACCAAGAGCATGGTGTGTATGCCATCAACTTAAGGAGCACACATTCTCCCAGAGAAGCCAAGGCAAAGCCAATGACAGGCCTTGACTGACAGGGAACTGAGGCTTCCCTGAAGGGGGCCTTGAGGATACTGCGATTCAGAGCTCAAGAAAATACCTCATGCTTAGAAAGTATTAGAGCATTAAACACTATTAGAGA